ACAGCTATTCCATAGTGGGAAATATGGTGGCAGCCTTTGTTGTGCATAATGCTTTAAGGCAGTGCCAGAGGAGACACTCTGCCTCTTGCACAACCATGTCTTCCTTTTTCTTCACAGAAGAAAGCTGTGAAGTTGAGTGGGTCATGCGTGTGTGCTGGCAGGGGCCTTGCCAAGACCAGCACCCACAGAAGATGCGCTCGCTCGGTCCCGGGGGAGAGCATCCCCGCCGCAGGCAGGCGGGCTTGGTGGCAGCACCGGGCTCCCCCCCCGCCGCAGGCAGGCGAGCTTGGTGGCAGCACCGTGCAGCAGAGGCGCCTGTGGACAAAGCGCTGCGCAGCCCAGGCCGATAGCAAAGTTTTTCTTGGAAAAAGGTGGTTTGCAGTTCTGTTTCTAGGTGAGGTACATCCTTTTACGGGAACAGGTAGCTAGGCAGGACACTTACATGCAAAAAGCCAACAAACCACCACCAGCTCAGCATCACCCTCTTGGAAAAGAAAAGGCAGAGAGCACTGGCACATCGGTGGCCAGGTAACACGCGGCCAGTGGTTTGATTCCAGTCGTTTGGCTGCAGCATACGATGAACCAGACAAGCTGATCAATGTTTAACATTTATCTTCCAATGCCTGATGTGAAAAATGACAGCTTTTAGTTACAGTATTTATTTTTTTAGAGGACAGTTGTTTCTTTCACAGCATGAATTAACAAACTCCTCTGAGCAGATTTGTATCACACACACAAACCTAAACTGGTTGTGAAGATAGCTTAGCTTGGGGTTTTATTTTTTCTGCATACTGCCACTTTTCAGTTTCATACTTTCTTTCTGCTGGTGTGCTGAAATTGTACCAGACAGGGCTACCCGTGCCCTGCAGAATCTGGTGCCACAAGGTCTGGATCTCAGATGGGGCACTCAGTGCCAACAAAATAATGCTGCGAAACTGAGAATAAGTTTATTTTTATATCACACAGATGCTGGTTGTGCATTCACAATTACGTTGAAGGAAGACAGTTCTTGAGTCCCATTAGCACTCAGGTGTTTGTGTCAAGTGAACCTGGACACAAGTGCATCACTGAGGAGCTGACACATAAAAGCCACTCTGGAAAAGTCTGGAGAAAGATGGGCACTGCCATTTTGCAATGTTGATTGAACTCCACCCGTTTACAGAGCAACTTGGCCCTACAAAGCATAGCCAGGCCTTCAACTATATTGTATGAAGGGGTGGGGCGGGGGGGCAGAACACCAAACCAAACCACACCACACCACACTGCTGGCAGCCTGGCTTTCTCCCAGGTCT